TTCCTAAGAAAGGGTCCGGGAGAGACATTTTTTAAAAGACAGTCTACCCAGCATGGTGACTCTGTTCCTTTTTTAAAAATGTTTGAGGTACTGGCAATTGAACCCAGGACTTAACACGTTAGGCAAGCACTTTATCCTTGAGCTACCGCCCTTTGTTTTATATGTTTTACATTTACTTCATTTGTTTAATTAATTTATATTTTTGAGACCATCTCATGTGTATGTAGGCTGGTCTTGAACTCAGTGTGTAGTCTAATTGGCCTTCAGTTTCACACTCTTACTTCAGCTTCCTGAGGAGCTAGGATGATAAGCCTTTGCACAAACTCGGGGGGGCGGGGGGCATGTTCTTGTACACATATGTGAAGATAAGAGTTCAGCCTTGTGTACCATTTATCTGGTGCCCACAGGGTCTCTCTCTGACCTAGAAATTCACCAGGGAGACTAGGCCGACTGGCCAGTGAGGCCCAGACATCCTCCTGTCTCTGCCTCCCCAGAGCTGGGATTACAAGTGCCAGCCACCATGGCCAGCTTCTTACATGGGTTCTGGATCTCAAATTCAGATCCTTGTACTTATGTGGCCAGTGCGTTACCGTCAGCACCAACTGTGCCAACCGTGCCACCTTCAGAGCCCTGGCCCTGGCAGTTCTTACACACTGTAGGCGCCCCCCCCCCCCCTTATTTTGACAGTACTGTTCTAAACACAGTGATTCTAGGGTCTCCGCTTTGGCTGTGGGACTGGCACTGGAAGAAAGTGGTCAGAGGGTCCCTGCTACTGGGTGTCTGCAGGAGCAGCAGTGGCCCCTGACTAGAAGATGGGCTTACCTAGAGCAGGGGAGGGCGTGGGGTGCTCAGATTTATTGTCTCAGTTTGAAATTTGCTCACAGTGACATGCAGCAGGGCGGAGGCAGGTCTCCTTCAACTACATAGCAATTGGACTAATACAGAGAAGATTAATGTGCTCCCCTCCCCATATAAACGAGAGAAGAAAAGAAAGGGAAATAAAATAAGGAAAAGTGACTCTGCCCCTGCAGGCTGCCCACGCCTGTCGGGAGCCCTGGACTCCTGCACCAGGCAGGGTAGGTTCTTGGCATGTCTGGGGAGTCAGGAGAAGCGAGTTTGGAGCCTGGCTCCAGGGTGTGGCTCAGGCTGTCACAGGGCCAGTATGAGATTATCAAGGTTGCTGCTGGGACAGGCCAGGGCCAGGTCGGTCCCCAGGAGCCGACTGATGCTCAGGGCCTTCAAGCTTTCTCACTGACTCCAAAGTGTGCACACCACCCAGCCCACTGTGCCTTGTGTGTGCAGAGGTAGAATGACTTGGGGGCGTTCCTCTGTGGCTGTCCTTGGTTTTTCTGTTTGTGGTTTGTTTGAGACTGGGGCCCTCACTGGCCAACAACAATTTATTAGTCAGTGACAGTCCCAAGTTCCGACTCCATCACACCCTCTAAGCCTACCCTCCACCAAGTGCTGCGTCTGTTCCTCCTAGGCAGAGCCAGTCAGTCTGTCATGGATAAGTCCCAAGGTCCCCACAGGTCCCTGTCTGGGACCATCTAAACATGAGGTGTGTGTTTCTCCCACTGTCCTGGAATTTTCCCAAATTGTATCATCACTGGAGCAAGACAACCTTGCAGGTTCATTCCTGGCTTTACTTTGTTTCTGTGAGGACGGTTTTCAGGGGCGGGTTTGTTTTGGTTTTGTTTGTTTGTGTTGGTTTAAAAGGCCGAGTCTTGCTGCCATAGGCGGGTCTGCAACTCTGCCCTCTTGTTTTGGCATCCCAAACACTGGCAGTACTCTGTGTAAATTTCTCTTTTCCAGGTGGCTTTCCCAAGTCACTCTGTGTCAGTGGCCCTCAGCCTGTGGGCTGGGACCCCTTTGGGGGAGTGACCGACCATATGACAGGAGTCATATATCAGATATCCTGCTTATCACATACTTACATTATGATTCATAACAGTAGCAAAATTACAGTTATGAAGTAGCAGTGAACAATTCTATGGTTGGAAGTCACCACAACATAGAACTGTATTAAAGTGTTAGAGCATTAGGAAGGTTGAGAACCGCTGCACTATGTGTTCTCAGAGGATAGGAAGCCCTGCCCAAGGTCTGGGGTTCACCTGACTCCCACCGCCCCCAACGGGTCATTTTACAGCTCTGAGACTGAGACGTGAGCTCCAGCAGCAGGGTGGCCCTGTCTCAGGCGCAGCTCTCTCCTTGCAGCCTTTGCAAGGATGGTTCAGGGGGCTGCTCTGAGGTCGGGAATAGCTGAGTGATGAGAAGCACGGGTGCCCTGGGGTGCTGCTGGGAAACTGCCGTCACAGGCTGCAAGACTGAAGCAGTTACTGCACATCCCCGCTGTGGCCACAGAGGTCACTGGCATGAGCCAGGCTGAAGAGGCAGAGGTTGCTTCCTGGGAGAGGGGATGGGACAGGTCGGGGAAGCGCATAATGAGCATGTAGTCCAGAATCTCACATGTGCTAGACAAACACCCTACTACTGAGCCACACCCCAGCCCCTCACTAGGGGATCCTAGGCAGGGTCTCTACCACTGAGCCACACCCCAGACCCTCACTGGGCTACATTCTCAGCCTGTTTTAATTTTTTATTTTGGGACTGGGTCTCACTAAGTTTCCCAGGTTGTACTTGAACTCACTCTGTAGACCAGGCTGGCCTTGAACTTACAGAGATCTGCCTGCCTCTGCCCTCCTGAGTGCTAGGTTAAAAGGCATGCTACACTATGCCCAGTGAAACCTGATTTTTGAGTGTGTAGATGTTGAAGTAAAATCTTATCTCAGCCTCTCCACCCTGTACTTGGGTGTATATTTTAGATTCAGAAGTAAATTCAGGCTAATGTGGTGTTCATGCTTGGGAATCCCCACACTTGGCCTCATAGGAAGTTCTAGGCCATAATGAGACCTCCTCCCCCCACTCTCAAGGAAAAAAAGAGAGAGAATTAAATTCAAGCCAGATGTAGTGGTTCATGCCTGTATTTCTAGTACTCAGAAAAATGAAGCAGGAGGATGGTGAGTTTGAGACCAACCTGAGCTACATGAGAACCCTCCCCCACCTTTTTAAGAGAACCTCAGGGAAAGTTCCTTTTTACTTTCCTCCTTTCATGGTCTCTTGGTTTGCTACTGAACTTCCTGTGTGTATCAAGGCCTCAGCTGGGTCGTAGGGACATGGGGAAGGGAGGGGTACAGGAAGGGAACTCTACAAGTACAGAAATTACCAAAATTTGAGGTGATCCAAAGGAGAAGAGACTCTGGATACTCAGACTAAAACTGAAGGTCTCAGTGTGGCATGCACCTCTCTTTCCTACAGAGGGGCCGTGACCCTGGAAGGAATTTATCCTCCCACTATGCCTGAGGGAGCTTTCGCTGGTCCCTTGCTCAGTCCTGAGTAGCTCCCAGAAAGAGGGAGATGGACCAGCAGCCACCCATGGGGTCACATCCCAGGCCTTAGGGGACACTGTCTGTGCAGGTGGAGGCGATATCCCAGGTGAGTTTGAAGAATCAGCAGACATAAGACGAGGCAGGGGATGAGCATGCCGAGAGCGGTGACCTTCTGTGTGTTTCCCACAGGCGGAGGGGCAGCAGGCAGTGGAAGAGAGCAGTGTCCTGACACTTGCCCTCCTGCGGCCAAGGGTTTTGGCAGTGATGACCTCACAGGTTGTCTGCAGTGAAGGCAGAGGCAGTGTGCAGGACACTGACCAGACCCCCACCCTCCTTAGTGTTTGATACATGCCATGGTGTGTGTGTGTGTGTGTGTGTGTGTGTGTGTGTGTGTGTGTGTGTGTGCGCGCGCACCATGGTGCAGGTGTGGAGTCAGGACAACTTGTGGAGTCCATTCTCTTCTTCTACCATGTGGGTTCTGGGGATCAAACTAAGATCGTCAAGCTTAGGGCGCAGGAGCCTTTACCCACCCAGCCATCTCCCCGGCCTCTGTTTTAAAAGGAAACCATTTCTACCTCCAGGACTTTGGTTAGAGAACCAAAGTTTGTATTATTATTATTATTATTATTATTACTTTAAAAGATGTATTTTAGAAACATTGTGAGCACAGGGGTCCACATAAGCCAGAAGTGGGCGTCAGATCCCCTGGAGCCATCTGACAGAGACGCGGGATCCAAACTCCAGTCCTCTGCAAGTGCACTGTGTGCTCTTAACTGCTGAGCCATCTCCCCAGCAGTTTATTTATTCATTCAGTCGTGTGTGCGCGTGTGCGTGTGCGAGAGAGAGAGAGAGAGAGAGAGAGAGAGAGAGAGAGAGAGACAAACTTGGGGAGGCCATAGGGCAACCTGTGGGAGTCAGTTAAATTCTTCTACCAAGTGGGTCCTGGGGATTGAACTCAGGTGGTCTGCTTTGGCAGCAAGCATCTTCACATGCTGAGCCATCTCCCTGGCCTACTAGAGCTTGCCTTCATCCATTAGCTCACTGAAGAGCCACCCAGCTTCAGCCCTGGGAAGCAGGTGGGGCTGGCCGGGTCCTGTGCTGGCTTTGCCAGTGGTAGGTCACAGTGGAGCTGGTGCTTGAGGCAGAGAACGCGATGTGCCGCCTCCTCTGCCTGCCAACAGGCCCCTGCTCCTCCTCCAGCCTATCCTTGAAGTTTCCTTGTGTGGAGTTACTGGCCATCCAAGGCTGTTCTTAGGGTGCCATCTTGTGGTCATGTTCGCACTAGCCATGTCTTTCCAGTCGCTGAAGCCGGTGGGGCTACTGCTTTTCTTGCTGTGGAACTCATGACCTGGGGACTTGGCTTCTGTAGCTTTGGTCTTGGCCTCAGGGGAGAGAGTCGTGCATATTTGTCATCTCTTGAGTTCCTTGGTTGTATTCCTTGATTTTTCTGAAGCTGGTCACCCAGTGGTATTGCCAGTAAGGCAGAAGTAGAGTCTCCCCCACCTCACCCCACCCCCGTCATCCATGGTGGTCCAGAAACAGTGGCCCTACCTGAGGCCCTACCCGAGGCCTCCTCCCCAGAGTCTTAAACTGTGTGTTTTTTCTTCTCTTCAGCGTCCCCAACTCCTGTCCAGCCAGTCCCCGAGGAGCTGGGTCATCAGGTTACCGCTTCGTCCAGAACGTGACTTCAGACCTTCAGCTGGCCGCGGAGTTCGCAGCGAAGGCCGCCTCCGAGCAGCAAGCAGACACGTCTGGTGGGGACAGCCCCAAGGTCTGAGCCTCAGACATGTTGTCATGGTGACAAAGACCCCACAGTAGGGGTCCTGAGGGTGACTCAGATGGGGTCCTTCAGGGTACAGCACGTGGCTGTGTTGAAGGATCTACCTGTGCCATTTCCCAAATGATGCGCTTGGCCATTTGTGGTGAGCTGGAGTCCTGTCACCAGTCCCCACTTGTTCCGACCACTGCTGGTGAGGCAGTTTCCGAGTTTAAGACAAACGACCCACTTGCCTTTCTTTTCTGCCCACTCCCTTTTGACAGTACTGGGAATTGAACCCAGGAGCAGTTTGCCACCCACCAACCCTCTTGCTACCTTTTATTTTGGGACAGAGTCTCACTCAGTAGCCCAGGCTGGTTTTTGAACTTGTGACCTTCCTGTTTCAACCTCCTGAGTAGCTGTGATGACAGGCCTGCACCCCCAGGCCCAGCCACACTTTGGTCGTTGTGTCTTGGTTTCTTTTTATTTGGTTGCTGACTGGGGGATAAGAACTGTAGAATTAGGATTCAGAACCTGTTTCTCTCCTGTGAGGTGGGGCTTGGTGTTTCTCTCCTGTTCTTTCTCTCCTCTGTCTGTCTGTCTGTCTGCACACATACATATGTGCAGCTGTGCTGGCCCCGCCCCATCTTCTCAGCCCTTCTCCACATCGTTTTTTCAGACTGGATCTTTCACAGAACATGGCGCTCGCCCTTTAATCTAGGCTGGCCGGTCAGGAGTCACTGGGGTTACAAGTGTGACACCGTGTCTGGCATTTTGTGTGGGAGCTGGGGATCCGAACTTGGGTCTTCAGGGCTACACGGCAAACACTTGATGCACTCAACCGTTTCCCGGGCCCTCTTTGTTTTGGTTCTTTTGTTTTCTGTTTTTTGAGAGGCTTATGTTGAGGCTGGCCTAAAACCCACAAGCACCTCACCCCTGGCCAAAGGGCACTGTTCTGAATTATTGTTGTTGTTGTTAGGGTTTTTGAGACAAGGTCTCAGCCATAACCCACACTAATCTCAGAATCAAGGCAATCCTCCTGCCTCAGCCTTCCAGTTACTGATAACAAGTGCATTCCACCATGTTCTATGGTTCAGAGTTTAATGCAAGCATGCTAATGGGTGAGGCAGGCTTCCCAGTGTGACTTAATCCGGACACTTCCATCTGTGTCCGGAGTAGGTGGCCTGGCTTGGGGAGATTCTATCCTGCTCCCCCCGTAACTCTGTCTTCTGTGAACCCTGCCCTCTAGGACGAGTCGAAGCCACCGTACTCCTATGCGCAGCTGATCGTGCAAGCCATCTCCTCGGCACAAGACAGGCAGCTAACACTAAGTGGCATCTACGCCCACATCACCAAACATTACCCTTACTACAGGACTGCTGACAAGGGCTGGCAGGTGAGGCCCTGGGGCCTGGGCTGTGCTTGGAGGCCCAGAACAGGAAACACTTACGGACTCAGTGCATCATGTGAACAAACAGAGATACCTGGGTGTTTTCCCAGGTGACACACACAGTACCATGGTACTTCTGTGTGTGTGTCAGAGCCATCAGAGAGACTGGTTTTGTTTTGTTTTGTTTTGAAAAGGTCTCCTGTAGCCCAGGTTGGCCTCAAACTTATGTTGCCAAGGATGAGCTCCTTGTTCCTGAAATGCTGGGATTGCAGACATGTGCCACCATGCCCATTTTGTACGGTGCTGGGAATGAAACCCAGGGCTTCACGCATGCTAAGCCACATCCCAGCCCTAAGATGATCTGTTTTTACTACTTTTCTTTCATGCCTGGTTGCAACTTTCTTTCTTTCTCTTTTTTTTTTTTTTAAGTTGTTTTGAGACAGTGCCTCATGTTATAGCCCAGGCTAGCCTTGAAATCATGGCAGTCCTACTGCCTCCGCCTCTAGAGTGCTGGCGCCAGCCTTGAGCCACCCCCACAGCTGCTCACCGGTGGCCTCTGTACTCCCTGGGCAGTACAGCCCGGGTGACTTCAGCAGTACAGTGCATCCATCACTTAGGGCAGCACTCCTCCTGCACGAGTTCTGTGCATTCTATCTTCTTGGAGGCAGTGAGACCTCTGCACTGCACACAGTGGCCACAGATTATACCATTTATTCTTTTCTCTGTAATTAGCATTTTCTGTTGAAAATCCAGAAGAAACATTTTTTGTTTCTTTGTTTCTTTTATTTTGAGGCAAGGTCTCATGTAGCCCAGGCTGGCTCTGAACGTTCTTTATAGCCAACAATGACCTTAAACTCCTGATCCTCCTGCCTCCACTTCCTGAGTGCTGAGATCACTGGGGTCCACTCACCACACCTGGTTTATGTGGCCCTGGGGATGGAGTCAGGGCTTCCTGTGTGCTGGGCAAACATTGCACCGATTGAACCCAACCCCAGCTCCACGAGGAGATTTTCTGAGTCAAGGGCTCACTATGTAGCCCAGGCTGACCTTGAACTCATGATCCTCCTGCCTCAGCCTTCCATGTACTGAGAAGACAGGCATGTCTTCTTGCACCCAGCTTTCAGGATGTGCTTTGAACCCGGCCAGCCTCATCTTTTCTCCGTTCCCGACGAGATCCTGCATACTTCTCTGTTTCTTCCAGAAGAACAGGGGTGGATTTTACTGTGTGGAGTTTGCATAGGAGGAGCTACCCTGTGCCCCACACCCTCCCCTGGAGGGTGGTCACCTGCAGCCACATGCCTGTCATCAGTTCCTGCTGCGTCTATTGGGAGGTCTGCCCTCTGATGGCTGTGACCCACAGATGTCTCTCTCTGTCCCCTACAGAACTCCATCCGACACAACCTCTCTCTTAACCGTTATTTTATCAAAGTCCCTCGGTCCCAGGAGGAGCCTGGGAAGGGCTCTTTTTGGCGAATAGACCCAGCTTCTGAAGCCAAACTCGTGGAGCAAGCATTCCGAAAGCGGAGACAGAGAGGTGTCTCCTGCTTCCGCACCCCCTTCGGGCCTCTGTCTTCGCGGTAAGACCCCTGTCACTGTCCTCTTGCTCTTCTGAGAAGCTAGGTTCCCCGGGTCACAGCAGTGGAGGGACTTAGAGCTTGAGGACTTGGTCTGTTTTCTGGGCTCTTAGACAATTAAGCTTCTGTCTTTGCTGCTTTTTAGTTTCAAGGCAAGGTCTCAACTTTGTGAGCAGATTGGCCTTGAACTTATGGTAGCCCTCTGGACTTGCAGGTGTGCGTGACACACCCAGTTCTGACTCCTGTGCTGCTTGGAGCAGTTAGTGAGGTGGCTACTTGTGTAGTGTGTACAGGAGGCTGAGCCAGCCATAACCAGTTTAAAGGGTGAGCTTTCACTGAAGGGCCAGAGGTGCCCCTGCTGATTTGCGGACCTTGAGCTCCCTCTACCATTAATGGAGCCATGTTGGGAGTACAACTTATCTGCTGGCAGGCAGGACTGGATGGATGGACTCTCCATCATCAACAGCTCCATTGAGCATTGCACGTACCTGGCAGGTAAAGGCCATTTGGACAGCTCTTTGGCCACATGTGGTTCTTAGGAGCTGCTACTTCTGTGGATAGCTGTTGAGTCTGCTCTCTGTGGTCACTCTCAGATGATAGACTCCTGACCAGCATAGGTCAGGTGACCAGCAAGTGGCAGGTACTCTCAGAAATCCCTCCATCTCTAGGAAAGCAGAGTCTAGTACTTTCGGTCCCAGTGTCATGATGAGCCAGGGAGGGATTTCTCAGGAATAGGAATGCCTGCATCAGCACTGGCCTCTCATAGTTCTTAGATGTCACAGTCATTGTGGTCATCCAATAGCAGTTTGCATTTTTGTAGTACTGGGGATTCTAGGCAGGTGCTCTACATTGAGCCACACCCCAGCCCCTCACTGGGGGATTCTAGGCAGGGGCTCTACCGCTGAGCCACACCCCAGCCCCTCACTGGGGGATTCTAGGCAGGTGCTCTACCCCTGAGCCATACCTCAACCCCTCACTGGGGGATTCTAGGCCCAGCCTGTTCTACTTTTCATTTTGAGTCAGGTCTTGCTGACTATAGCCCAGCAGGCCTTGAGCTTAAGATCCTCCTGCCTCTGCCTTCCAAGTAGCAAGGATGACGGGCCTGCATTGTCATTCCTGGCTGCAAGCTTTTTCTTTCGACATAGACTGAGCTGCTCCTGGAGGGTGGTAGGACTTTTTAGGCAGTGCATGCTACAGGATGTACAGTTGCTAGGAGAGAGTCCTTCCTCTACCCCTTCAGCCCTTTTTAATGGAACATCTACCCACCCAGCTCCCCACTGAGTGGAAATGGCAATGCTGGGTCTTTGTCAGCAGGGAACATTAGATCTGGGAAAACCTTAGGGAGATAAGAGAGAAGCCCCTGGAAGTGTGGGGCAGAGACATGAGGAGATGGGGTGGATTCCGGGAAGTATGGGGCAAAGACGTGTGAGGTGCAACCTGAGGAATTGTTGGGCAGGGGTGGGGTGGGCTGTATTCCAGAAATCATTGAGTCAGATGTGGGAGTGGCCATGGGATGTACCTTAGGAATCGTTGAACAGAGGTGTGTGTGTTGGGGGCGGTGTTTGTCTTTGTATTTTACTTTTGTTACGATGTACCTCCTTGGTGCATCCCTTTCTCATCATTTCAGGAGTGCTCCAGCTTCACCCACCCACCCTGGACTGATGTCCCCTCGTTCCAGTGGCCTGCAGACCCCAGAGTGCCTGTCTCGGGAAGGCTCCCCCATTCCACATGATCCCGACTTGGGGTCAAAGTTAGCCTCTGTTCCAGAGTATCGCTATTCCCAGAGTGCCCCAGGTAAGACATGAGTTCATTCTCTTCCTGCATGTGACAGACTGGGAGGCACCCACTCAAGTAAGTCACTGTCCTCTGTGTCATCCCGCAGGCTCCCCTGTCAGCGCCCAGCCGGTGATTATGGCTGTCCCTCCCCGACCTTCCAACTTAGTGGCTAAGCCTGTCGCCTACATGCCAGCTTCCATAGTAACCTCACAGCAGCCCTCAGGCCATGCTATCCATGTGGTGCAGCAGGCCCCCACTGTCACCATGGTGAGGGTGGTAACCACCTCCGCCAACTCAGCCAACGGGTACATCCTCGCTAGCCAGGGCTCCGCCGGGGGCTCCCACGACACAACAGGCACCGCTGTGTTGGACCTGGGCAATGAGGCAAGAGGTAATGTGACCACAGCTGTGTTCCCAGCAGGGTCCCAGCACAGTTAACACAGTTGGGCAGTTTTACTATGCAGGGCAGTGGGTAAAGGGAAGTGGGTCTTGGGTTACTGTCTTTTTTTTTTAAGGAATTTTAAGATAGCATGGATTGTCCCTGGGTACTTCTTCCTTGGTTGACAGAGCCTTCTGATGCTCAAAGCTGTTTGCCTGAATTTTGTTTCCATTCAAAGTGACATTCAGGTTGCAGTCCTTGTTAATTTGTTTGTTTGTCTGTTTAGAAAACCTATTTTCATTATTTGTGTGGATGGGTGTTTTGTCTGCAGTGTCTGTGCACATGGGTGCAGTGCCCAAGGAGGCCAGAAGAGGGCATCAGATAACCACCTATGTGGTTGCATTTAACCACTGGGCCATCTCTCCAGCCCCTATTTATTTATTCATTCATTCATTCACTCATTCATTCATTTTTGCCGGTGTTGCAATATGTATCTCTGCTGGGCTGGCTTCAGACTTACTGTCATCTTGCCTCAGCAGTGCTGAGGTCACAGGCATGTACCTGTGTTCACCTCTAAAAGAAATCTGGTCCTAGGGAGTTTATGGGGTAGATGTTGGCAGTGCACCCAGTTTGTGAAAGGCAGCCCCAGAACTTTCTAGAAAGCATTATCTCTTGGTTGTTATTCCCACTGGGAACTCAATTTCAATGTTAACTTTGTATCTTATTGTTGTCATTATGGAAACAGGCTTGGCCTGGTGGCAGAGACCTGTCCTCCCAGCTACTGGGGAGGTGGAGGTCAGCTTGGGCTGTACAGCAAGCTCAAGGCCAGCCTGGGTAACTTAACTAGACTTTGTCTTTAAAAAAAAAAAAAAAAAAAAATTCAAGGGGGGGTTGGCAATGGGGCTGGGGATGTAGCTCGGTGGCAGAGACCCAGCATGCACATGGCCTTAGATTCAGTCCCTAGTACCACTAGCAACAACACAGTAATAATAATTCTAATCATAGAAATGACATCGTGGTGAAAGAGATGGTCACAGCCCTAAAAGCAAGCTGTCTCATTCCAAACAATACATTTTGCCTCACAGATTAAATTTGTATTGGTTACATTTGAAGGTTTACATAGTTAATTTATTTTTATTTTGTTTTTGGTGTTTGAAACAGTCTTGTGAAGCCCAATACTGACCTTGAAGTCTGTGTAACCAAGGATGACTTTGAAGTCTTGATTCTCCTACCTCCACACCCAGCATGTTCTAAAGCCCTGTTAATTTAAATATATGTCCAAAGGTTTTCTTGGAAAGCCCTCTCTCCTAGTAGCCAACCTTATGCTGAGACCTTGGTGGGACTTGGTGGCCGGGGCCATGTGTGGTTCTGACTGGCTGCCCGCCCCACAGGTTTGGAAGAGAAACCCACCATAGCATTTGCCACAATCCCTGCAGCCAGCCGAGTTATCCAGACGGTCGCCAGCCAGATGGCCCCAGGAGTCCCTGGACACACAGTCACCATCCTACAGCCAGCTACACCAGTGACTCTCGGGCAGCACCATCTTCCAGTCCGGGCTGTCACTCAGAACGGAAAGCATGCTGTGCCCACGAATAGCTTAACTGGCAACGCTTATGGTGAGGCCCCAGCCTGCCCTCGGCCTGAACCCTAGATGCCAGGGACCTGCCCGCAGGCAGTGCAGCTCGGGAAGCGCTTGCTTTTCCCATCCACTAGGCTCAGTGGCCTGAGCATCTAGCACGGAGCCCAGATGTCGCCTAGGGTGACAGGAGGTCAGAGGAGGAAGTCAGGGCGCCTGCAGGGGTCGGGGTGCTAGCGGCTAGGCCCCTGTGTGCCAGAGTACAGTAGTTCTTTTTCTTGTGCCATAGTAAAACACCTGGTGCCAAAGGCAACTTCGGGAAGGAAGGTTTCTTTTGGCTTACTTTGGAGGTACAGCCATCGTGGTTGGGAAAGCAAAGCACAGTCAGGCAGCAGCCGAGGGAGAGGAAGCTGCTCCTCAGCTCGCTTTCCACTTTATTTAGTCTTGAGGCCCAGAGTAGGATGGTGTCACCACATGCAGGACAGGTCTTCCCTCTTCATGACCCCATCTAGAAACTTCCTCACTGACATGCCCCGAGGTTTGTTTCCATGGCACTTGTAAATCCCACTGAGGTGATAATCAAGATTAGGTAACACAGAGGGTCCAGAGGGGGAGGGAGGGATGTCCTCAGGGTGACAAGCAGCAGCAGGTGAGCAGGGCCTTGAAGTCGGGTGTTGGGTGTCTGACCTAGACTTACCATGGGTAGGGAAGAGATGTCTGGTGTAAGGAATGGACACTGTGGCTCTGCCTTTACTGCTCTGATCAATTAGTGGTGATCCTTAAGTAACCTCTTCTTCCTGCTACCAGCCCTCACCAGCCCCCTGCAGCTCCTGGCAGCCCAGGCGAGTTCATCCACACCAGTGGTCATCACCCGGGTGTGTGAGGTAGGGCCTGAGGAACCAACAGCAGCCGTCTCGGGGGCCACCAATGCCACACAGACCCCAGCAACCTCCACTACCACATCTGCCTCTTCCAGCGGGGAGCCCGAGGTCAAGAGGTCCCGGGTAGAGGAGCCCACTGGGACAGCCAGCACACAGCCCACAGCAATGGCAGCCACTGGCCCACAGGGACCAGGTACCGGCGAGTGACGTCACCTGCAGGAAGGTGGAGTGGGACTCACGCCCAGGTGCCCGGGTGGCCAGCTGCTGCACTCAAGGACGGAGAGAGAGGCTGACAGCCGCTTGCAGCACGTGTGCCACCAGGGCGGCCGCCACACTTGGACAGTTTCCTTTTTATCTCTCCTGTCCTCCCATGGTTTGAAACAAAACACATAAACACGTTCAGACGACTTGATTGTATGAATCTGGGGGTTCTGTGTGTTTATTTACCCCTCCCTCATGCCATCACCTCTCCACGGTTCTTGTGGGAGAAGGTCTAGCCCAGCTCCTCAGGAACAGATCCCAGCCAGCACCCTCAAGAAGAGTGAGCCCCAGGACTCGATAGAAGTGCCACAGTGCAAACCCAGGCTGCTCTCCGTGGGAGCCACCCACAGACTTCCTGTTTGTAACTCAGTGGGAATAGACCAGAGAACAGAGAATGCATGTGGCTGGGATGCAGAATCTTCTCCCCAAGAGTGACATAGTTTGTGGCATTAATTGGGGTCAGGAGGTTACCTTGGCTTTGGACCCTAAAATATTTCTTACAGTTAAACATGGAATTTGGGCTCATCTCAAAACCTGAGACACACAGAAGGGTTCATGTGTCTTTGGGGTTCCCTTTGATAGCCAGCTGAGCAGTTGCAGACCCAAGCACTCACCCACACCAGCCCCTGGTGAACATGCCGCTCTCCCCGATAACTTCAAGAAGGATCAGCGGCTCCAACATTGATGTTGCAAAGTGCTTTGGCTGGAAAACCAGCCCAGGGCCAGTGGCCGTGGCATCCATTCCCACAGCACTGGCTGAACCCAGAGTGGCAAGCTACAATGGACATCCAGGGAAACCTGGGCAGCTTCAGGGGATGTCAGCCAGCCCCTTGCTCAGCAGGAGGATATTGGTATGTGCCCGTGGAAGCTAGCTAGCAGGGAATGTGTCCTGTATTTCTGGCAGCTGGAGGATCTGAGCAACCATCTGCTCACATTGCCTTCCCCTCACACATTCCAGTTTCCTGAGCACCCCAAGACGTGTCCAGTTTGCAAATGGAAACCCTCTCTTCTACCTGAAGCTGGGGGTCCCTGGCCGTTATCCACCGGAAAGGAAACTACCTCTCCAGGCAGCAGTTGGTGCCAAGTTTGATGACAGTGTGGCAAGAACCAAAGTATGGAGCTCAGCCGAGGACTTGGATCCCCAGAGGTCCCTTTGCATGCCCAGACAAGCTACCAGCAGCACTTTCAACATACACCAAGTCACAGGAGTAGGAGCCACTGAACGTTTCCCTCAGCTTGCGAATGAGATGGTTCTGCAGATAGTACCAGCAGCTGCATGACAGAGACTTGAAGGCATCCAGGAGCTCAGTGTTGGTCCTCCTGGAGGGTAGGCCATAAGCAACAGCCACCACTCGGACAGAGCCCAGACCTATCCTTGGCATCAGACCTCCCACCAGCCCTCTTCCTCTGCCTGGGCCCGGTCAGAAGAGCAGAGAGAGCCCCGTGAGCAGAGAGCAGGCAATCCTAGGAAAGGAAGGGGCCACCGCTGTACAAGCTGCCTTTGCTGGAAGGGATGCCAGCCAGTGACCTGGAGGCTATGGAGAGCAGATGACCGGGTGGGATGAGTCCAAGCTCCACCCTACGGCTGCCACCACTGAAGCCACCAGTCCCCCCACACATCAGGGAGCAGTGCGGGGTGCCTGCCCAGCCCTCTTGAGCTATCATCCAGGCTCTCCAGCCAGTCGTTTCTGTAGTACTAAACTTCAAGCAGGAAGTAAGCTGTGTTTCCTGTCTGTTGTCTGGGAGGTTTCAGAAAGCTGGGGCTGGGGTGGCAGTGGCTGGGGGAGGGTTTTCCAGGTGGAGCTGCCCCTTGGAATAGGCAAACAGCCCTATCCCACATCTCTCTGTGCCTAGCATGAACTTGTTCTCTCTGTGTGTCTGGTGTGAGCATGAGGTTAGGGAAGCGGGAATGGGCTGAGGCCATAGGGACACCTGTTGACTTTCCCTTCATTAGCCATTTGCTCCAAGGCTGTGCATGGTCACTCTGCAAGGCAGATTATTTGTGGATTGTCATGGTAGGCACTGTGTGCAGCCCCTGCATGGAACTGTGGGTCACTGTCTGTCGCATCTGTCATCAGGTCTCAGTATGGCTCTCCTGGCTCCTGAGACATCATGGTGTCCATCTTCTGTGGTAGATCCTCTCACCATTACCACAGGTGTGGAAGGATGTAGGAGAGAGTGCCACACACACTGTCCTAGTGTCCTGTGCCCCTGGTTGGGCAGCCTGAGCTAGAAAGGAGGAGGCTAGCCTGTGCCATTGCTCTGGAAGTGGATTCGGTCATCTACCAGGCAGCACCTCTAGCTTGTGCCAGCTTTTGCCCACGGCCCACAGCCATAGACCCCGAATAGCCAGTGCCAGGAATGCACAGCCAGCTGGAACTCGCTCCCGTGAGCTCTGGGACACCAATAGAGTCCAGCTAAGCTATCTGTGGAAGCCAGAGCCTGGGTCAGGGGCCAGGAAGACCATGACCATCTACTGTGTAGACCATGGCTGGCAACCCTGGAGGACTTCACCAAACCCTGTGGTTGGGGAACAGTTCAGGGACAGATGTGAAGCCTGGGGACCTGTTCCTCAGGGTACACAGGGGCTCCCATCTCTGGCACACCTTTATCTGAGCTTGCCTTGTTTTGGAAAGTTCCCTGGCAGATCAGGTGCCTGGCTGTCCACACATCTGCTGTCTTCTGTTTTGAGTCTGGGACTCGCCAGACTCACAGGTGCTGCGAGCATAGGAAGTCACCATGGTGACCGGAAGGGAAGAGACCCTGCCTGAGAGCCTGCCTGCCTGCCTGCCTGCCTGCCTGCGCTCTCTCTCTGTTCCTTCTCCCTTGCCCATCTCCTTCCTCCTCCCCCTCCTCCTCCTCCCCCTCCTCTTCCCCCCCTTTACTTTCTTTCTTCTATTCCTCTTTCGCTCCCTCATCCTTGCCTCCTCTGTCTTCTCCCCACCTTAGCTTTCAGCCTGGCACCCAGGGCATGATAAACATGTCTGTCATCAGCTTCTGGAGCCTTGCCTTTGTGCAAGGTGAGGTATCTGACTCCCTAGCCATGAGGAAGCCCCACAGACCCTTCCCCTGCTTTCCACATCCTTATAATCTAGAGATCTACCACCTCCCCCTCCTGCCCCTCGCCAGGCTTGCCAGGGTCTGGGATTATAGGTGCCACCCAGCCTACCACAGTAATGTGGGAGAGCCGGAAAGGGGTACATCCAGGTGATGGGGTCAGTCTCTTCCTTTAGAGAGACAAGGGCAGCGGTAAAAGAGTTCAGTGCACGCAGGAAACTTTTCCCATAGAGAAGAAGCGGTGGTGGAATGGAATGCTACTGCTTTTCCTCAAAAAACTCAGATTCCACAATGCACCCATGTGACGTTGCCTACTCTGGGGTGGGCGCCCCCACCTTGCTGACCAAGCCTCTCCCTCCCCATCTGAATAGCTCAGTGCCTGCTCTAGCGTAAGTCAAAAGGTGAGTGAGTCTCTATTCTGGTAAAAGACCCCTTGTCTGGGGAGCACCACATCCCAGTCACTAGTGGTAAAGTCACCTCAAGTGACAACAAGGTAGCCCCTTGTTTTGGCTCAGAGTGACAGAGCGCTTGCCTATAGCACCTCACCTCAGAATACCTCTGCTCAGAAGCAATATTACAAAGGGTAAGTCAAGTTGTTCCCAAGATCACCTCTGCTGACTCCAGCTTCCTCGAGAGCAGGACCTCTGACATGCACTTTAGCTTGGGGGAGGCAGGTGAGGGCTGGGAACAGACAGTAGCCAAGGCCGCCTCCGTTCCACCTGCCACTTCAGTCCTGTCCCCAACTGAATGTCCCCTTTCATCTGTGAGTCCCCTGCCCCAGGCCTTGAATTTAGGGTGGTTCCTTCTGGGATTCTGTTTTGTTTTGTTTCTTGTGGTACTGCAGACTAAACTCGGGGCCTGGCACGGGCTAGGGAAGCCCCTAGGCAAGGGTTCTGCTGAGCCACACTCCCAGCCCTTTAGATTTTTTTAAACTTGAGACAGGGTCTCAGGAAGCTTCCTAGGCTGGCCTTGAACTTGCAATCCTCTTGTCTCAGCTTCCTGAAATGCTGGGCCTATGTGCCACCATGGCCCAGTGCTCTTGTCTTTTGGTTTTTCTTTTTTTTCTTTTCTTTCTTTCTTTCTTTTCTTTCTTTTCTTTCTTTTCTTTCTTTTCTTTTCTTTCTTTCTTTCTTTCTTTCTTTCTTTCTTTCTTTCTTTCTTTCTTTCTTTCTTTCTTTCTTTCTTTCTT